ATATTTTATTTTGTAAAGTCACACAATTAGATAGCACACTAGGTTCATACTTTATTTTGTAAAGTCACACATTAGATAGTACACTAGGCTCATATTTTATATTATAAAGTCTCACATTAGATAGTACACTAGGTTCATACTTTATTTTGTAAAGTCACACATTAGATAATACACTAGGTTCGTACTTTATTTTGTATTAAAATATTAAAGAAAAAAATCAATCTGCTCTTGAAGTTAAGTCTAGAAATGGTCATTCTTTTTGTTCCTTAGAAAAAAGTATAAAAAATTATTTTTAGGGTATACCAAAACTTCTTATCAGTTCTAAAACACCTATTCTAGCTTTATAATAAAGCTTTTGTTGAAATCTCAGCTGATCAAGAACCGAAAACGATTTATTTGTTTGTTTTAGCCACATAGAGCTATCTGTACAGCGGGGAATAGAACCACGGATTTTAGCATCGAACCTTACCGTTGTCCTACCGGGGGACACAGAAAACGAACTATGACAAACGATTTTCTTATGAGTTTAACGCTTACGCTGTAACCGGATTTGCTTGTTAGTTGCGTTATGAGTTCAACGCTTACGCTGTAACCGGATTTGCTTGTTCTTTGCGTTATGAGTTTAACGCTTACGCTGTAACCGGATTTGCTTGTTATTTGCGTTATGAGTTTAACGCTTACGCTGTAACCGGATTTGCTTGTTATTTGCGTTATGAGTTCACGCTTACGCTGTAACCGGATTTGCTTGTTAGTTGCGTTATTCAAGAAGAATCGTGCTTAAAATAGTAACTCACTAATTTTTTTGTGGTTTTCGTTTTTCGATTTGTTAATGTAAAGAAACGGTGTATCTTTCCAAAAATTTCGAATTTGTTATAAAAACGGGAAGTTACATAAGGTTCAATCTGTCTCACATACAGATTGTAGTAAAACTTAGTTTAATTCTCGAAACCGACAGATGTCACTTTTGTTTCAGTTGTTTTTACTTTTAATAAGGGCTCGGGAGTAGCCATGTACGATCGTGTAACCTCCGACTTCTCTTCACTGTCGTTTTAATGTTCTTTTTATTTATATTCACACATGTCTAACCATGCGTAATATAAATGTTATTAGCTTTAAGCAATAACAGTGTGTACAAGTACTTTTTGTTGTTTTTTTTTAGTAGGACTTATAATATGTATTTCGTTGTCAAAATCCCATAAAATGATCGTACAAAAACCAAGTTCCAGACAGGTGCACCATTGGCCAACCATGACATAATTCAAGATGACGTCAAGCGTACGAGAGTGTAAATATCCTTTGAAATCAGCTAGCAGCCGAGAGAAATATACTGAAGATTCCTGTGACGTCAAACAAAAGAAACGAGCCGAGTCTCTACTATTTCTACGTAAAACACGGTATTCACAGCCGAGAGAAATATACTGAAGATTCCTGTGACGTCTAACAAAAGAAACGAGCCGAGTCTCTGCTATTTCTACGTAAAACACGGTATTCACAGCCGAGAGAAATATACTGAAGATTCCTGTGACGTCTAACAAAAGAAACGAGCCGAGTCTCTGCTATTTCTACGTAAAACACGGTATTCACAGCCGAGAGAAATATACTGAAGATTCCTGTGACGTCTAACAAAAGAAACGAGCCGAGTCTCTGCTATTTCTACGTAAAACACGGTATTCAATTATTTTATTCACCCGTAACTCTAACATCAGATAATTTTTATTTTTATTTGAAAAAGTATATAGTTAAAACTACAAAGAAGCCACCTTTGTGTATTAACACTCTTATGCTTTAGACATATGTAGCCTTATCATTTTGGTCTACAACTTATGTATGATATCTTAATATATAGTCTCATCACATTCGCTTATTTATTCTGATAGTATTTATATATGAAGTGATACTTGTCTGTTAATATTAAGGGTGTTTTAATATGTAGTGTTGTCATGCGTATCTAGAAACATCCACGTGTTCTTATATGTAGTGTTATCATGAATGTCTAGAAACATCCACGTGTTCTTATATGTAGCGTTATGATGGATGTCTAGAAACATCAACGTGTTCTTATATGTAGCGTTATGATGGATGTCTAGAAACATCCACGTGTTCTTATATGTAGCGTTATGATGGATGTCTAGAAACATCCACGTGTTCTTATATGTACTATTATCATGGTTGTCTAGAAATATCCACGTGTTTTTAAATGTAGTGTTATCATGGATGTCTAGAAACATCCACGTGTTCTTATATCTAGAGTTTTCATGGATGTCTAGAAACATCCACGTGTTCTTACATGTAGCATTATGATGGATGTCTGGAAACATCCACGTGTTCTTATATGTACTATTATCATGGCTGTCTAGAAATATCCACGTGTTTTTATATGCAGTGTTACTATGATTGTCTAGAAATATCCACGTGTTCTTAAATGTAGTTTTATCTCGCATGTCTAGAAACATCCACGTGAATAGTAATCCAGACGTAACCAAGAAAGTCGTCGTATATTTAGTGTAAATTGAATATAAGTTATTTGTAGGTCAGTACGTGGAGAAACTCTGATTATCTCGGTGTTTGTCTGAATTTTTTATCCGGCATGAGACTCCGATACTGTCGTCGATATATTCAGCGTTGTACACCAGATTGCCGTGAAATTAATGGTTTTTATCGATGATAAGAAGACTATTCAGATCACTGAACTTAGGTAACTGTAAGTTAAGGAGAACCGTACGAGTTATAACTTTAACTTATTCCTGTTACTACAATGAACTTCTTATATCAACAGAAGTATAACAATGATTTACACTAACTTAAATGTACCATACTTGTATGAATGTATGTCCACTATACATTAACTCTGGCAATGAAGAACGGATTTTGTATGTCACCGAACTTTACATAACAACACAGAAAGTTAAATGTACATTATCAATATTTCATGGTACAATATAAAATTATTTTATACTTCTAAGTTACCACTTTCTGTTTTTGATCTAGAACTCAGATATTTGTTGTTTAAATATAGTTTTACAAATATAACACACGAAGATCTATACATAGTCTAACTTCTTGAAGGTGTAATCGTTTAGACACATCATCATTGTTCATATTACAGTTTGGACAGTGTTCTTCAATTGTATCTGAGGGACAAATTCCTCTGACAAACAGACAGCATAATAACTTTGGTATTTACAAATAACACAAACTGAAATATGTATGTGTTACCAAGATTAAATTAACAAGTTTGTTTTGGTTGCAAATTTTAATCTATAATGATAGACAGTAAACCCAATGTTTCAGTATGTGTGATACTTTACAAGTCTTTATTTACATGTATTGAAGATAACACGTCAGTTTTAAAATGTAGGATAGTGGTATATAAAGGTCAAGATCTAATGTTCAGCAGTCAGCATAGTTACGGATTTCAAGTGCAGGATATGTTTTGTAGAGTTTCTAAAATAAAGAAACTTTAACTACTTTGAAGGATGCCCTTACGTTTCATTTATAGTGATTTATTAATAACCTAAATTGAAAGTAACACGTCAGTTTCAAGGTTAATGAAACTTCGCATCAATGTATGGAAGTTGACTCTAACTAAAGCTTTTTTGTGAATGGTATTAAGTACCATATGTAATATACCAAACATATTTTGATAGAGCATTAAATGCTTTAAGATACTTTTTTATGCTCATAATTACAACTCAAGTGTTCTGATGGCCTCCTGGAGTTTGTAGAAATTATGACTTTACTTCCATTGTCATTTCCAAACGGCTTAACGTACAATCATAATATTTCGCATACAGCTTCTTTGTGAATAATGTACAATTCTACTATAATAGATCTAATATTTCTATATTTCAGTTAGCAAACAATGGCCAAGTGGTTAGGGCGTTCGACTCGCAATCTGCGAATCGTGGGTTCATATCATCGTCCCACCAAACATTCTCGCACTTTCAGGCGTAATGATGCGGTCAATCCAACTTTTCGTTGGTAAAAGAGTAGCACAAGAATCGGCAGTGGGTGGTGATGACTAGCTGCCTTCCCTCTAGTCTTTCACTGCTAAATTAGGGATGGTTAGCCCTCGTGTAGCTTTGCGCGAAATTCAAAAACAACCAAGCATTTTACAAAATATCTTATTTTGAAAATAATAATTTTTGGAATACAATTCTTTATTGACCAATGAACTGACATTTATGTAAATTGTTTATATGCTAATCATATATCTGATAATGGTATATCATTATAGATAGCTGTCAATAACCTTTATAAGTTGAATATAAATCATGGAAGTAATAATACCTATCATATTATGAACTGTTAACATTGTAAATGTAATTTTACAAATTGTCACTAGATGACAGGTATTACATGATCATCTAGTTATCGTAATTATTTAATTTGTTTGCATTACAACTCACTAGAGGGCAGGGACGTATTTTGTTAGTGAATAAGGAAACTTCGTATTTGTCGAACTGACATAAAAAGAACCAGTTTTCTTAAAATTTGCTCCATCCTACAACCTACTACTAGATTTTTTTTTCAACTAGCAAAAAATATATATTGTACCTAATGATGACAAAACCTTGTAGAAACGTTGCACATTTGCTGTTATGTTAAACTTATATTAAAGTTTTTCTTCGTTATCCATTCAAGCCGTCTCCAAGCATTACATATTGTAACTACTGTTCCAATGTTCTACTCGTTTAAGCTGCACTAAAACAAAATTTTCTAAAAGGTTTAGACCTTATGGTTATAAGATTATCATAGGCCACGCCATAAAAAGAAATTATTAAATTTCCAGTTTTAGGTGAAAAAGTGAACTGAATACGTTTTATATCCTGTTACAGCTTTTAATTTGTGTACACATTTTAACATGCTAAATGTCTATGGTTTGTATTAGTTTATATATATGTATATATTTTTCCATATTTCAACATGCTAAAATGTCTATGGTTTGTTATGTAACCT